AAAAAAGAGTGAGTGGCCAATTGGAATATTAAATTTCTACCACTTTTCATTCACATTCGCTATGTTGTCTTGCATTCTATTTCCTAAGCAGTGTTTCCCCTATTTGCGGTATATACTTGTATTTGCTTTTGTATGTTACTGCCCACAATAATAAGTGTGGAGGGCTTACAAAAATAACCCTTTTATGAGATTTTACCTTTTTACTTAAAGAAGCAAGGTAAATTGTTGGTGTAGGGCTCATCTAAGAGGTTTACCTTTACGTGGCAAGTGAGCTAACACTTTAATGCCCATTAGAATGATACTAAAAAAATCTCCAGTTATTTAAATGTGCATAGGGATTCGGGATAGTGTGCAAGTAACATCTCTTTTTTTTTATTTTTATTTTTTATTCTATGCAGTTAAATTCTGGCTCCATCTATTGATTATAACTTAGATGTGCAAAGTTGGCTTTCTCAGCTTACATTTGTTCTACTTGATCATCATACGTTCTTTACACTCTTTTGACATAGGGATACCTGTGTCAAAAGAATGAAATGTAAAAAGAATGAATGAAAGGTTTTATTATCTGGTTTACTATGTCTAATACATTAAAATGCTAAAGGCTAATTAATAAAACTACTTTACCCTCCAGAGAATGTTTTTTTAAATGTATCCTCAACTGGAGGATTAGAGGAAATACCCAGTGCTGCACAAATGACAGACTGACTAGTAAGAAGATTACCTGCTTTCCCAGAATACACTGGGGAAGATAATTGGAGAACTTATACTAGAATGGTTTCAAGATACATTCGTGCAATCGCTCAGTATAAATAATGCAGAAGTCACCTGCATAACACTACAGTATTGAAGACAGGTAGATACTATTGTTTGGAAGGAAAGTAACACAATCCCAGATCACATTGATACGAGTTAAACCCTTGTCCTACATACAGCAGCTGCAGCGGAGTATTCTATGATTGCTGTGGCCCTATAAGCAGGTCTAATGACAGCTTGAATAAATTCTGCTCTTTGGCATTACCTGTACAATAAGGTCAGTGTTATCATTTTATTCTTAGTGTGTGTGTCAATTGTCTAGTGATCATAAAATAATTAAGGTTAATTTACTGTATAAAAACTGCTCATAACAAGCTATATACAACATGCACAATGTACTTTAATTTCTAAATTAAAAGGCAGCTCTTCCGCTTCCAAAACTGGGGTGAGATAAATACCTGTATTCCTACATAACTGTATTGAAAACAAATATTCCTTTTTTTTTCCTTTCCCCATCTTTTCACAAGACCAGTATATATTTAATCTGTAGCCATGTAATAGTTATATAAACATTTAAGCATTACAAAAATCACATTTACAGCCATATGGGTTATTCACTAGGAACCAGCCAGCTATTTCCTGTTAACATGACCAAATTGCAATCAAATGTACAGTTCTCATATTTACCAAAATAAATTCAGGTTAGAACTCCGTTATTTCAACTGAATAATCATATCTCTTTCATGACCATATGGCGTTTGCTTTAAAATTATCACATGTGAACTTGATATACAGTAAAGGATATGCATATTTATCGAAATCTGAATTTCATCTGGATTTACTATAAACAAATACAGTAGGAGGTAAAGTCATAAATTCAATTCAATTGCTGCGCAGATGCATCTGCAGAAATCCACAATATTTTGTCCACTGCCAATACAAGCAGCCAATGGGCAAAAGGGATAAAAATAGTAAAATACTATAAAATAATATTAAGTTAATACATCATAGTTAATCATATAATATGCATTTTATAAGCTACACATTCATGGGAGAAAGATACAGAAAGAAAAAGGGATGGTAAAGGAGGGATAACATTTCCACGTAATTACAGAACAAAGCATAGAGTATAGAATAATTAGGAGGTCGGTATCCAAATAGTGATAACGACATTTGCAATGTATTAGGTTATATGATAATTCAACTCTGTCTGAAAATTTGATTCAATCAAATTATGTAATAACACATAACGGCCAATTCTGGTGAATAATTAGAGATTCTAAGCATTTGATTTAATACTGTTCTATCGCATCTGGAAAGGCTGAAATCAGCACTAGATTCAACAGAATTGCAAATTGTAAACATTGATATAGTTTGTAATCTATGTTTTGATACTGTGGTTTAAAAACCCTGGATGGTACCAGATTTTCTATAATCCAGGCTGGAGGCATGCAATCTTTATTGAATAACCCTGATAATATATACAAACAGGAACAAGCAATGGTCAAACCCACACTTGCAGCAGCAATTCACTTAACGTGTCTTACATAACAACAAACAAAGTCAATATTCTCTGAGCCACAATCCATAGCTTCCAGCTGAGAGTGGGTAAAGAGGGTGGGTCAGTAATGCAATTGCACCAGGGGCTTCACTTAGATAGGCAGCCCCACCTGGAAAGGGGCTTGGTCCACCAAATTAATGGCAGGTCAGCCTGGCATGAATGTATGCCTGGCTGCCTGGCACACACTGCAGGGAGCACTGCTTCATTGTCTCTGCAGGGTCCTAATGCCCTGAACATAGAGCAAACACATAGAATGATGCCCTTGTGCTTTGCTTGTTGGGGACTGTTCCCTGGTATCCCTAAAATTGAGACACCAGGCAACTAAGTCTGGACCGTGGAACAGGACCTAAAATCAGGACTGTCTTGTCAAAATCTGAATTCTTGGGAGGCCTGCACATTAGTATTCTCTGTATAATACTGTGACCAGCCACAAAAGAAACATTCTGAATGAGAACTTTCATTTACCAAAGCTAAATCCCTTGTTGTGGCTTTTAAGCAGGTTATTTGTTGGCCACTTAATGCAGAAGTAAATGTATAAAAAACATTCAACTTTGATTTTAAATCGCTATTAAAAAGCCTCTAATATTACAGCAAATTGAGTGCTATTAACCAGTTAACCTCACAAATGTGTCTATTTCAAAAGTAAGCGATGGAACTTTGATGCTCCAAGCATCCCAGTCAAGCGTCACTCTCTTTCACATATATTATTATTACTTTTATTATTATTGCCATTTATATAGCGCCAACAGATTCCGTAGCAATTTACAATATTATAAGAGGGGGGATGTAACTATAAATAGGACAATTACAAGAAAACTTACAGGAATGATAGGTTGAAAAGGATGCTGCTCAAACGAGCTTACAGTCTATAGGATCAATGCAACATCACCCTGACATATTTTGCATTCATTGGTTTCATCCAAGAGTCACTCAGACATTTTATTTTTGATATATTTTTTTTAAAATGCTGTTATACTGTTTTGGGAAGATATTTACTTTATTTTGGGTACTGAGATACTGTTTTAGGAAAACATATCAGGTAATTATGGACCAACGCACAGCCTACTTAAAAACCAAAGCAGAAGATTTAAAGAAAAATTATAGTGTTAGAAATACAAAACTGTATTCCTAACAATATAGTGCCCTCTTCCAACAAACTGCAAATAAAGGGTTCTAAAAAACCTATAAACACTTACCTGATTCAAATTCCTCCTCTGCTGATGTCAGTCTATGGAGGGACCTAATGTGCATGCGCAGCGAGCACCAGTCGTGCATTAGACGTTCCCCATAGGAAAGCATGAGGATGTCCAGCATCATTTTACGGAAAATCCAGAAAGTGCCTCTTGTGGCTGTCTGGTAGACTAGAGGCAGCCATAAACCTTTAATGTAAGCATTACTGTTTCTCAAAAACTGCAGTTTTGGACATGGCACGATTAAGAGAACAGTAACACTGCACCAAGACCACTTCAATGAGATAAAGTGGTCTTGGTGCCTATAGTGACCCTTTAAGATCCCATTCAGAAGGTTGCTTTTGGTGTTGATCACAGTGTTTAACAGAGTACACTATTGTGTTGTATTTTTAATTATGTCAAAGACGCTTTGGAACGAAGAAGACTATAACACTGAAATGTAAGTATTGGTGTGCATTATTGTATAAATGTTAAACGTAATTGCACATTCCATCATACACCGTATATTCACTGTTTTGGTTTGTTTAATAACCATCTTTGTTTTGCTATTTCTCAGATAGCATCCGTGCCTTACACATTTTAAAAAATTGTCACAAAAAGAAACACAAAAAGGACTTATTGAATTTGTACTGATAAAAAGGTATGGCATTGTTATTTATAACACTGTCCCACTATACGGGGGAAAAGATAACCCAATCATGCTCTAAACGTGAAACTAAATAAAACATATAAGGCATTATTAATTATATGCTTGTGGATTAATTTTCTAAAGCTGAAAAACACATTGCAAGAATAATTATACCTGGAGACCAGGTATGCCAGTTGATATAGCGTAGAAGACTATAGAAATAAAGCAGTACTGTTATGGTTTCTGCAAGATCAAGAAAATAAAAAGTCAGGTCAGACCAAGTTGTGAACATAAATATCATATCTTCTGTATAGTACTTTTGGACATGTTAGAGGTGGCTTTATAGTGATCATATTTTTACCAACTGCTACAGTCATTCATGATAGATATAAAAAGATAGTGGAAGTGCACTCAACCCTTCATCAAGGAATCCAGGGTGCTCCAATGGATAGGTCCCAGTACCAAAGTGGACCAAATGTAAAATTATTAATTGTAGAAAATAATCCAGGCACTCCAATGAATTCCAAAATGTAGGCAATTTTATTAGAACCAGGAACTACACAGCAACGTTTCAACCCCTTAGGGGTTGACAGCTTGACAAAGACCCTCAGGGGTTGAAACGTTGCTGTGTAGTTCCTGGTTATAATAAAATTGCCTACATTTTGGAATTCATTGGAGTGCCTGGATTATTTTCTACAATTAACAGTCATTCATGATATCATGGCTAGCCTATAAAATGAATTAAAACTAATGGCGTTTCATGGTTTGTTTGTTTTTTTACCTGCAGGCTTCATTCTATAAACTGGTGTTTGATAGGACTTTTATGTTTGGGTTGAATCTTTGAGGACATCAGAATTTTCGTATCATCATGGTTCAGTTGCTCCCAGCGCAAGAAGCAGCCAGAATCTACCATACTAACTATGTACGCAATGCACGTGCTATAGGTGTATTATGGGCCGTGTTTACAATCTGCTTCAACATCGTCATGGTCGAAGTCTTTATCCAACCTTACTGGATCGGTGACAGCCTAAACACCCCACAAGCTGGCTATTTTGGCCTGTTCAGTTATTGTATTGGCAATGCTTTGACTTCAGAGCTTATCTGTAAGGGAAGTGCCTTGGACTTTGAAAGTATTCCTTCAGGAGCTTTCAAGACAGCCATGTTTTTTGTAGGGATCTCAATGTTCCTGGTGATGGGCTCTATGTTATGTTTCAGTCTTTTCTTTTTCTGCAATTCAGCCACCGTGTACAAGATCTGTGCATGGATGCAGTTAGCTGCAGGTAAGAGAACAGAAGTTGTTTTCATCTGTTTGACTTGGGCAACTTACCCTAGAACCAAGGACAATTCATTTTGTCATACTTTCCATTATGTATTTTCTATCACTATTTGTTTTTATTTATTTCCTTTATCGGTTGATTTGTTACATTTACTCCCTCCACTTTTGCTTCTATTTGCATTTGACACCATTTTTTCCCCCTCAATGTTTCCTATACAGCTGCTGGCCTGATGATTGGATGCTTAATTTATCCTGATGGATGGGACTCTACAGAGGTCAAGCGTATGTGTGGGGATAAGACCGATAAATATACATTGGGAGCATGTACAGTGCGTTGGGCCTATATTCTCGCCATCATTGCAATCATGGATGCACTTATACTCTCTTTTCTTGCTTTTGTCCTGGGGAACAGGCAAGATAGTTTGCTGCCAGAAGATTTCAAGATCCAGAACAAAGGTAATAATTCTCTATGTGTCCTACTACTCCTGCCATACTGCAAAAGACATGGTTCTACTGCATAGAGCCACTAGCGGTAGCAGTTAGGACAAACCTCTATACTGCAGCAATCTAAACATTTAAATCTAAAATCGCCAATCTAAACATTTAAATCTACAGCACCGTATAGGATTAACATACTGTATTTATGAAACACTGACAGGGGTATTTACTAAAACGAGAAACGTCAGAAATTCAAAGAGAATTTCAAGTTTAAGTACCAAACTGAATTTTAAATTTAGTGCCAAACTAGCCAAACTGGAAACATAGTTAACTTGGAGAACCTTTCCACTTCTGCTATTTTTGCATTGAATTTGAAATTTCACTTTGGTACATAGGTACATAGTAATCTAGGTGAAAAAAAGACTAAACTACCAATTGTAGTCATTTTCAATTATCACCAGTGAAATGTTTCTAGTTCTGCAATATCCTCCATTAAAACTGCACAAAATTACACTGCATAATCAAGGTGGGGTCTTACCTTTTATAAAGAGACCTTTATAAAGAGACAAAATGACCTTTTATAAAGAGACCCAATTAAATTTTGATCAACTTAATGCCAGGGGACAGGGGGTTATAGGAGGTGACACACATCCCCTGTGTGTCACCCCCATAACCCTGCATCTCACCTATTTCCACTGTATTCTACACAGTGAAAGCTGTAGTATAGAAACTTGATTGATGTACCGCGTGCATGCGCAGTACACCCAACAGATTTCTATATCTGAAGGATGTGCTGCACGCATGCGCAGTACACCCGTCAGATTTCTATATTAGAAGGATGTGCCGCACGCATGCGCGGTACACCCTTCTGGTTAGTGGCCCATCTGATCCCGTGTCATCACAGTCGGCACGCTGCGCCTCCACCAGAATTCTATAACTGCATGCGCCCAGCTGATCTTGCATCATTTCCGGTGACATAGGTACAGCAATCTGATAGGTATACTTTTCTGATAGAACACCGGCACTGTATACCATTTCCTAATTTGTTATTTATAATCGCTCCCAAGTCCTGTTCATTTAATGTTATCCCTAACTCAAATGCATGACATTTATTTGTATTGAATCTCATCTGCCACTTGCCTGCTCTATCCCCCAATGTAACCAAATCATCTGTAGAGAAGCTACATCATATTCAGACCTTATTATCTCAGTACGTTCTATTATTTCATATGTTGCTATATATGATGCTATATAAATAATTATAATTCAGATATGCTGGAACAGTTCACCTCACCTGTCAGATGAGATTATATTTTTGTTTTAAAACTGCTCAGTATCATGGGATTTTTGCTATGTTATAGTTTGGGAATTAACGCTTCAGCTACACCACTTAAAAGGTTATCCAGTGGACATTCTTGCCCGTATGGATCAAGATGCTTTGTGAAATGCAGACACATATGGACTGTTCTTTCCTTTTGCAATAAAAGCACAACAAATGAAAACAAAATGTACTGTATAATAACAAGCTTTAAAGATATGTTAATACCCCTATTCTATGAAAGTGGTATCAAATATTTACTATAACAAAAAACACAGACCACAAACAGCCTCTATGTTAAACTGTGCAAAGCTGATTTAATGACTGATGATACAGAAAACACACATGCTTACATTACAAACCATAATTGTTTCATACTGGCAAAAATAACATTTTCAGAAAATGCTCACTGACATGTTCTATTGTGAGAAAGTCAAACATATAAGGGTATGAACTGTTAAGTGCATTTTTTCCGGTCACCTTTTAGATGATCTAAAACAGAAGGAAATATGAAAATAGATTCTGCGATGTGTCCTGAAAACACTATGACAAAACAATATGGTGAATTTCTAGAAAGGGAGATACAAGCATTTACAGAGTTATTTGGGAAAGTGAAAAATGAAAGTTAAATCCAAGTGAATTTTTAACCCAAGCCTTTTTTTATTTACAGAAGAAGATGGTGGCTGAAAAATATTATCATCGATGGCCTTCAGTGACGTTCATGGAGCTTCATTTGTTTGCATTTCTCTTTTTTTGTAAGAAGAGCAAGTACTCCGTGCTGGTGATTAACTCTATGACGAGAGGCCCTGCCTACTGTACAGAACTGACCTTACACTGTCCTTCATTGATGTGAAATTAAAATTTTTATTGGAACTAAATAATAATAATAAAAACCCTGTGAAACCTTTCAACATAAGTGAAAATTCAAAGTGCAGTTCTAATTTAAGGCCTGGGTAGCCAAACTAAAAGCATAGGTGACTTAGAGAATGTTTACATTTTGGCAATTTTTTTCCCCTAAATTTGAAACAATTTTGTATTTTCAGCTTAGCGAATAAACCTGTACGTTTCCTAAAGACATGAGTGCAGTGATGCTCAAAGACTTTGCTTGCCAAATACAATTTGGGGTGCTGGAGGAAGTGTTGCCATCAAAATTGATCTGCAATGATGAGCAATGATGTCATTTATTACCGAGGTGGGATACCACTCCAGTCACTCTAAAATGCTGGAAGCTGTGTGTCTAAATGGGTAATAATTTACATATGTGGTTGTGATAATTGTCTACACATGTGCCACAAAAAAATAGTTTAAAAAAAAAAAAGTTTTTTAAAAACCCAGAACATGCATTTCTAAGTAGTACTGCTGGCATAAATACCAAAATATATACAAAATACAGATTAGGGAACAGTGCACTAAAAACAAACAAATAACAACAAAAAAACTTCACGTGTCATATTAAATATGGAAAACTAAATTGGCCATACAGTGGCATGGATAGAGAAGGAGGCAAATATTATTTGGGAGAAACATGTGGAGAAGAAAAGTAATGTGGGAAGGGGGTAAGTGGCATTAACATCCCTACATTCGCATAAACTCTCCACAAAATACACTCCTGTGTTCACATATGTATTATATTATATATATATATATATATATATATATATACACACACACACACACACACACATATATATTAACATTAAAATACACTTATAATGAAATTATATTAAAACAAAAACCCAATAATCCTGCCAGCAGTGTATTTTGGTTTCGTGCTGCCCTAGGCACGACTAAACCTGGGCACCCCCTTAATCTAAATTTGCCCCACCCCTTCCTCTCAAGGCAGCACCTCTTCATGATTAAGAAGCCTTCCTCTTTAGACTCCACCTTTTCAAGGGATAATATAGTGCCAGGAAAACAAAGCTGTTTTCCTGGCACTATAGTTCCCTATAGTGCCCCCCTCGCCAACCACTCAGCACTGAAGGGGTTAAAACCCCTTCATTCACTTACCTGAATCCAGCGCTGGTGTCCCTCTGCACTAGGTCAGGCTCCTCCTTCGCGCTTGCATTAGGCTTCCCCATAGGAAAACATTGTATCACTTCTTTCCTATGGGGATTTATCAGATACAGGATTTCCTCATGAACAGTGTGAGGACATCCAGCATCAGTTAGGCGATATATGGTCGCCTAACCACGCGCAAGTCCCTCTGGTAGACTAAAGGTGGAGTTAAAGGACCACTATAGTGCCAGGAAAATATACTCGTTTTCCTGGCACTATAGTGCCCTGAGGGTGCCCCCACCCTCAGGGACCCCCTCCCGCCCGGCTCTGGAAGGGGGAAAGGGGTAAAAACGTACCTTTTTCCAGCGCTGGGCGGAGAGCTCTCCTCTTCTCCTCCCCGTCGGCTGAATGCGCACGCGCGCATTCAGCCAGTCACATAGGAAAGCATTCATAATGCTTTCCTATGGACGCTGGCGTGCTCTCACTGTGAAAATTAACAATGATAAATTAAAATTTTCCACCCAGCCTCCCTACCTGGAGAGCTGATGTGGAGCTGTCCCTGGGGTCCAGTGGGGCTGCTGGGAGGCATGCAGCTGTGTTAGAATCAGAGGTGGCAAGGCTCTGATTTCCCTGCACTGCGCCCTCGTGGGTTGTCTACTGATGCCGGGAGCCGGAATGACGTCATATTCTGGGTCCCGCGGCATCAGCAAACAGCACGTCAGGGAGCAGAGCAGGGAAAATCAGAGCTCCCTCGCCGCCTTTGATTCTAACACAGCCCCACTAAACCACTCGAGTGGGCGTTTGAGGGCGGCACCCCGGTTAGTGCCGCCCAAGGCAAATGCCTAGTTTACCTTGGGCTAAATACACCAGTAAATCCTGCGCTCCATACACATATGAAATACTTGCCTGCTTGTCAGCAGCAATGTAGAAACCAGTGTTAAGATAGCACCCCCAGAGCTTGTATCCAATTTACTTTTATTACTTACAATTGTCCTTATGAAGGTTTGTGATGGCAAACTGAAATGTCAATTTATTTAGTATGCAATAAAAGTTATATTTTAATTAATCAGATACAGGTCTTGGGAATGCTATCTTAACATTAGATTCTATAATGAAGTTATACATTTGTATAATATATGTAAATATTAATAAAAATGCTTTAATAAATTATAAACTAAAAATAATATATAAAATATTTATACATATATAATTATATATATATATATATATATATACATACATACACTAATTTATATATACATCCTTACTAATTGTACATATTATGTGATTTTATTAATTATAAATTGAGAGACCTGCCTGACAACCCAAGCAGAAAGTCCAAAGAATATAATTTTCAAGCCCTGTGTTTGACCCTGTAACTTTTCAAAACACCATAAAACCTGGGCATGGGAGATACTGTTGTACTCATGATACTTCGCTGAACACAAATGAATGTTTTAAAACATTAAAACATATGACGAGATGAATACCCTGGGTGGTTTACTTTTGCAAAGGGTATGCCATAATGGGGGTAGTTATCATTCTTGGGTTGCCATACGGTCTCAAAGGCGACCTAGCAAACCAATCTGGCAAATTTGAATGGGTAAAAACTGAAAAAGGGAAAACCCTACATTTGACCCAGTAACTACAACTCCGTAACACTTGTACATGATGGGTAATGCTGCACTCTTGAGACATTGCGGAATACAAATATGTGTGTTTTATTGCAGTAAAAGCCAACAGTATTGACACAACATGACATTCATGCCAGACAGAACTTCAAAAAAAGTTCTCAACCCTAATTAGATTTTGTTTATAATAAATTGTTTCATATCTAAACATATCATGTGAAATGGAAGCCCGGTTTCTCCTGAACAAAATGATATATAGTAAGTGTAGGTGCACTCAATATGAAAGCAGTACATTATGGTTAACCCCTTCACGAGCGATGACAGTTCAGGACCGCCATCGGAAAAATCCCCTTGAGGACTGATGACGGTCCTGTGCCGTTATAACGGACATATTTACTCACCCGATCGCAGTCGTTCCCCCGGCGGAAATCAGCGTTGCTCGCGGTGTGGAAGGACTGCCTAACAACCCAGGCAGTCCCTCCCTGGCCATGTGATCGCTCTAACAGAGCGGTCACATGGCCGCAAAAGATGTCCATGTTTCTGCCTGCAGGGGGACTGCCTGAACTAACAGGCAGTCCCCCTGCTGGTGAAAAAAAAAGGTTTTAAAAAGTTATAATAAAGCAGTCAGAGTAAAAAAAAAATTTACTTTTTTTTTATATATATTACATACATATATCTTATATAAAATTGTCAAATTAAGTGTAATTTTTATATTATTTATATATATATATTAATATAAAAATACACTAGAATTAAATGACACACATATATCATATATAAATACATTATAAAATATAAATGATAAGTAAAAAAAAAGCAAACACTTTTAAAATTATAAAAATTAAAGGGGACACCAGAGGGAAAAGATGTGGGTTTTAGGGGGACAGCAGAACGTTCAATGCAGGACTGGTCTCAGTCAGTGAGCGTTGTTTGGCATAGTCCTGTTCTGCCCTTTATAGCAATACGACCTCTCCAGCATGAGAACAGTGGATGTGGTGAAAGTGGCACGAGCACCTGGCAGGACCCAGGTAAGCTGTCAAACAGTGATACAATTTAATCTCTCTGTGGGACATCAACAGGGCATGTCTAGCATCATATCCACTACAGAGGGTTCAGAGTAAATGTCATCCAAGCATCTAAGGATTAGGTCACATTTTAAATGAACAAATAAGGCACATCTTTGATTGAGACATAATCTTCCATCTTGAGAAAATTTGGGGTCTCTGTTTGAGTAAATTACCTACCCCTAATTTATAATAATACTTTCTGAATATTGGTCCTAAAGTGCAAATGTAAGGATCTCCTCCGGCAGGATGGTCTTCTTAAAATATTCAGTATGTTTAGAAGTGTATGAACTGTATGTACAGATCCTAACATTGCTGTAGATAACTTCCTGATATGAATAACGTATCCAACAAACAAATACTCCTGTTTACCTATCCTTCAGAAACAAAAACAAAAAAAAGAAATCAGACATGTTTGTTTGATGGCAGAGGTATTTCTTCATATGTTAGCTTAATGTAGGGGTACTCCATAGGTAAATACCAATATTCAAAATTATAAAACAAATAAAATGTTTTATGCAAGACAACCTCATCATAGATTGCCAAGATACTTATAAGGAACTCTTTAAATGAATGAGGAGGTCTAAAAGGTGTGTAAAACATTCTTATGTCTTCTGCCAAAGATTTATTGCCATGTGGCCCAAATATAGACGAGACATTTCCCAAGTATACAGGTTCTCCACTGTACAAGAATATACGAGTGTAATTTGTCTGAATCTCTTTGTTAAATGTGGCTCCAAGCTCCCATATTTTTTGGTAGGTTCTCAACACAAATTTGCTGCAGTCATATGATTCAAACCACACCCTTGGTTTAGCTCTGGTTGGTTCCTGCACAGTCCATGTCTCGTAGTAAATCCCAGTGTCATTATCTTCTTTTAACCATTTTGACATCTGATTAAACATGCCGCCTGTTAAACGATTTAATTGCATTTATTATTGTACTGCTATGTTTGCATATCCCCTATATATCACTTCAAAAATCCTTAATGAACTGTGTACTAAAAAAAAAAAAATGTTTAATAAAATAAAGTAAAACAGCTTACAAAACAAAACAAAACATTTCCATCAATAATACTGGTTTGTAATTCAGGGAAAATTAACATGTTTCCAGAGTCTGTTCTAACACACAAAAATACAAAATCTCAGATTTGAAAACAGGTTGGTGAGTGAAACCATGCAAGCAGAAGTTAAAAAATACATATGCTGCATTTGTGACTGTTAAAAAAAGAATAAATTAAAGAAATCGTTCAAGCAACATGGCCACTAATGTGTGATGTAGTGGATATGGTGTCAAGATGTCCCTGGTGCCGCCCCGCCCCCCTCCATTTTGGAACGGTTAGACTTACTTGGGGTGCATTGCGCACCACTCCCCAACAGCTCTATTTCCAGAAGAGAGCGGGGAAGCTCCTTCATAGTAGCTCTCCAGATGCCAGGTAACAGGTCAAATCTTCTAAAATGGTTTTACTACTTGCAATGGGGATTGCGAGAACATTCCTGGTGCCATAACCACTACAGAGCACTGTAGTGGTTATGATATTTAGAATGTTCCTTTAATGAAGCTTTAGGTCAGTAATCAGTAACATTAGATTATCAGTTACTAAACACCGTTTAAAATACATAACTGAAAACTCCATTGTACCACGAAAATCCATAATCTTTAGGATGCTGTATTTTTGGGATCTGCAGTTATGCCATGTATTATAACCCCTTACCTGACATTCTTGCAACTGGAACCAAAGTCCCATTGCTTTTCCAGTGTTCGTCATCTATTCCCTCATAGAAACATGCTGCCCCTTGATTACACCAAAATGGTTCTTCCATGTTGGGTCTCAAGTGTGGAAAAGTACAATTTCCAAGCTGAAATAGTTCGTACCATTCAGCTGTGTAATTTTTTCCTGTTATAGAACTCCGGAATCCAACTGCATCATGCATAATTTTCTATATAAGTTAAAACAAAAAATGTCAGTCTCACAAGGAAACAATAGCTGATTTACTAAGATATCCTCAATTGTAGAATGTACAAGCTGTGTAGCTAATAAAACTGGCAAAGTCTATGCTATCCAAGTTCACAATCTGGATTTAAAAACAAATAACTAAAATGTCAACCATCGTATAGAAATAAGCACATTGGCATGATACAAGCAGGGTATGAAATAATTACATATGCATAAGAGCATTCATACAAAACAAAAAAACAAAGTGTGCTGTATACATTAAACTATTATTTCAGCTGTAGCATCAACCATATGAAAGTGCATATGTGCATTACATAAAGCGACACTTAAATGTTGATTAAAGTGCAATGTGCAACACTGCAAAATACAAAAAAACCCCCAAAAAACTAAGTGCTACCAATATTATGCAATTATACAGTGTAGCACTTTACTTACATAGATATCTGTCTTCCTTATAATAGATCGGTTGATATGCTTGCAGGTGGTTTCAAACAGCATATAACATGTACGAGAAAAAAAAAATATAGGGCAACACGAAATGTAATAAATAGTGCAAAAATAGGAATCACTCACAAGCATAGAGCAGTGGAAGTCTGCTCTAACTGTATCAGCTTCCACCTTATATTCAGTGAAAAGACCTTGTTTGGTTTTTTTCTTTTTCTCTTACTTTCTATATAAGTAAAGTGCTACACTGTATAATTGCCCAAAACTGGTAGAACTTTTTGTATTTTGCAGTGTTGCAAATTATAGGTTTGAACTGAGCACATTGCACTTTAATGTGGTTGATGCTACAGCTGATATTATAATAACAAAGTATTTAACCAGGAACATTCAGATTGCTCTGGTTTTCACATACGTCTTGGGCATGTTACTTTTGCCCCACAGCCAGGGGATGTTACTATTACCCAAGTTAATGGTACTCATTTTATCTACCTCGAAAGGATGAAGCGCTGAGTTGGCCCTGCCAGGATGCATTAGCCCAGTGAGCTTTCTAATACATATCTGATATACATGAATAGTTTGTCTTAAAAAGACACAGCACACTTTAAAAAAAAATTAAGTATATGTGTTTTGAGCTTTTACCCATTGTAAGGGGTAGCTTTGTATATCAATTTTAGTGAAATAATTTTTAGGGCCATACTTACTGGTTTTACTTTGTATATATAAAAGCATCAATGACTAATGTAATGACTAATGTAATAGTCAGATTTAGTCACATGACAAACTTATGATTCATCTACCACTTTATCAAAGTAATAGATTTGGTGAGTTTTTAAATCTTAGATAGGCAGCTTTCACAAAATCTTTTTATTGAACTGATATGCACTAGCTTAGTATGAGTAGTTGGATGATTTTCTTGTTTGATTTTTTCCAGGAGTTTTAATACAACACTCCAAGTACCATAACCACTGTAGCTTGCCACTTAACTAAGCCTGGCCATGCAGGCTGCACTGATTGACTGAGAGCACTCTCATTTAACATAGAAGGACTTGGTGCAGTGGAGTTAAATAGTTTGACTTCTTACTCTGGAAGGGTGCCACTAATTTATGCTATGGTTCTTGGAATGCTGTTTAATAATTTAGATTTGATACTTGAAAATACTCGTGTTTCCATTAATCAATAATTTACTATACTTACAAAATGTCCCAGCAGATCCCCATATTTGAATTCCCAAACAGGGGCTTGCAATCTGTAAACATCGATGATATCCTCATCTTTCATCTTTGGAATAGAGCCATTCTCAAAGCCACTGGGGCAAAATGTGTACCTTGCTTGGCAGTATGGATCAGTTTTAGGTCGGAAGTCAAACCGTCTGTATCAGGTAAACACAATAGGGAATTACTCATTTGTGTTCTATATGGTTAACCTGCAGTTATTTACTGGGATTCAGGCCCATCCTATTGGAATATCATACCATGATCACATATATGAATCCCTCGAACCCTCCTTAGTACTTTTTTTTAGCCTTGAACAAAGGTGATTAAACAAACATTTATTTTATTTATTTCCACCTCAAGATTCAAAGGCTGCATGTCTTACCAGCTACAATAAAATGTCACCAGGAAACTAGAAAGCTTTAGTTATAAATTGACATTCTGGGCAATCATGCCTCATTATATTGGTTCGGTTGCCTTTGTATCCCTTGGAAGGCCACAATGTGAGTAAAGAAACTCTCGTATGCAGTCAATGCCTAAGAAAAGGCTCACCATGTTTACTCTGGCAAAACAAAGAAGAGGGAGAAACTATTGATTACTGAATAAAAACCTTTGATCATTAGAACGGAGTCAATTAATTATTCTTTCTCGGTCATTGGTGTAATGGAAATACCATCTGTGAGATACCATACAGACTGTGCAGGATGTGTCAGATTAGTGACTGCTGGCTCTGCGTAATCTAATGGTAGCCCGTATAAAAGTTGCAAGAAAAAGGTTTTTGAGCCGTTTGAAATTACCAGGATTTTTCCACTGATTACGCAGAAAACGCACCCTGATCATTATCACAATTATAGACAATAACACAATCGGTCTATACTAATAACACACCAATAGATTCACTTTTTAAATTTTTAATGAAGATATTAGGTATTAATTCACAGAGCAGTTTTAGAGTCAAATCTGTCACTAGAAATCGGGGTCGTCGTCCACCCCCCAAAAAAAGATTGACAACATGATAATGATGCTGTTTAACATATATCACTGAGGGACGGTCTTTTGGGGGAAGTACGCAAGGATTCAGAATTAGAGGAGAAGGAAACAGAAGATGAGGCAGGGGTTTGTAAAAACTAAATATCAGCTAGGTCAAGATCGTTTAATTCATGAGCTGTTCTAAGCTATGTGGTTGTTATTGAGATTGCAAAATACAATGATTATAAAGACCACAAATCACATCATCCACACTGATACTGTTCTTGCATATTACATTCTTATGAAAATCATAATAATTTCTCACTTGATCATCTAAGTTTATCAAGAGCAAAAAGACACTACACAGAAATAGTCGGTTACCCAAAATATATACAGGGTTATTAAGAATTCAAAGTAAACTTCAAATTTAAGGCCAAAGTAGCCAAACTGGAAACCTAACCATCAGATGTTTTTTCTAGGTCATCTATTTTGACCTTGGATTCTGACTGTAGAGTGTGTGTGTGTGTGTATGTCGGGGTGGGCTGGGCGTTGGGGAGGTGCATGGATTTATCCTAAAACAAACAAAGCTAATGGGATAAACCACATATTGTTTACAATCATATACTTGATAGCAGGGATGGGCAGGAAGTAGAACTCTTACACCTTACACTCACTGGTATACATGTAGGGGTCGCAGTTGTGACCGGGACCGTCACTCCAGGGTGCCCGGCCGCCCTGCACCAGCCGCAATGTTTTGCGGCCCCAGTCCGCGCGGCAAACTGCCGTGGCCGCCGTCCAAGGGGTCCATGAGGTGGCCCATGCTCTTAGGGCCACATGGTGGAGATGGACTTTCAGGGGATCCGGTCAGCGCTGGGCGCTTTAACAGTGCGACCTGGCCCCCTGTGATGACAATACTGCTGGGAGGAAGTGACTGCCCCAGTCACTCCTCCCAGCAATCACACAGAGCCCGCACGGGAGGAAGGACAGGATGTCAGAGTGGGAACTCTGACTCCCAACAGCCTGAGCCACCATTGGACCCCAGGGAATGTCACCCTCCTGCACCTAAAAGGTAGGAAACAGAAGGGTGACTAAAATATTTTGTATATGTGTGTGTTTGTATGTATGTATGGGTGTCTGTCTGTCTGTGTGTGTATGTGTCGGTGTGTATGTGTGTGCCTGTCAAGGGGAGGGGGGAAGCAAGGGAGGGGCCCCATGGATTGTGTGTACGCCACTGCTTACACTCATGATAAACTGTCAACCTTATTGATGCAAAATGAGAGTTGTACGCCTGCAACACCAGATGTTCCTCATGTCCACTCCTAACCGACATATATTATAAATAGTTTTGAGTGCCATGAGATGCAACACTGCATATGGCTTGCAACTAGGAAGAAGGTCTATAGTGGAGTCTCATATGTACAATTGATGCAAAAGTGGAGTTAAATATGCAAACACTCGCACATATCTGCTAGCTTGATCTCTGGAGACCTTCAAGATTAGATTTGGAGAACAGACAGTGGCAAAAAAAATAAAACCTTGCCACTGGTATGCAATCATCTGAATCATAGAGGATACTTGTGGAGGGATGCAGTTCTCTAAAAGATCATCACGAGTAGACAAAAGCGCTCTTCTAAAAGCCTCTTTTAGACAACAGTTTGGATATTCTCTTGCTTTAAAAGAACTAAGTTCACTGGGTTTGTTTTTAAATTCCTAGATGGTTGAGCAGTTTCTTCCGAGTCTCAAATATTGGCAAATTGGTATGGACCTGTATCAAAGCATTTGCATGGTAACTTGTCCAGCTTAGGACACCTCATTAGGAACTTATTAATTAAAAGCTGCAATAAATTATAAAGGACAACAACCTTTAGTCCTATATAACTAATGTACACTGCTACATTTTCACTCTGTGTTTCAATTCAAGAGTGAGCCCTTTTCAAACTAGCTGCATAAATGAAATTTTACATTTAAGATTAACAACCCCTTCTCTCTGTATATTCTATCATTACACTTCAGTATGATTTTATTGCCGTAGGGATACACTTTTAGATAGATGTGCTTTCACTATGGGTGATTTCTAAAATGTATATTATGTGTCATTTTTGTCTGTTCATCCCAAATGCACATATAAACTCTTGCCATGAAATATAAAGACATAAATGCCTATGATTGTTAATAAAATTAAATTAGAGATTAGTGCCACTAATAATATACTGGATTGCCCACTTCCACCAGATGAGGACAAGAGGATGATGATGGGCTCAGGCTGCAGTCTGGCTCCACTGGTCTGGTGTTAAAACAGGCTCTCTGGAGGCAGTTCTCACAAAAATCAACAAACAGGAAGCAGCTCAATTTTTTTGGGCCCCTTACACAGATTACGGTCTGGGCCCCCAGGGCCTGACCATGAGTATGCCTACAAGGCCCACCCATGAGTTTGCTCACAGGGAGTGGAGTGTATATGTGTGTAGGGGATGTGTTATGTGTTATTGTAGAGGATTTAATGTGTCTGTGTGTTCTTTTGGAATGTAGTGTATAGGGATACCAGTTTGTGTAAGGGATGTAGTGTGTGTGTATAGGGGATGCATTGTGTGAATGTGTTTGTATGTGTAAGGGATGCAAGGTGTGTTTCTGTGTATGTAATGCAGTGCAGTGTGTGTGTCTGTAATGGGTGCATTGAGTGTATGTAAGAGATGCATTAAGAGAAGCAGTGTATGTGTGCGAGGGCTGCATTGTGTGAGTGTGTGTGAGGTATGCATTGTGTGTAAAGGAAGCATAGTGTTTCTGTGTGTGTGTGTGTGTGTGTAGGATTTACTGTATCTTTTGGTGTGTGAGTAGGGATGCATTGTATGTTTCTGTGCATGTGTAGGGACGCAATAGGTGTCTCTTTAAATGTGTAAAGATGCGTTATGTATGTGTGTAGTGTGAAAAAGAGGGTTTGTGGCCCCTCTGTGGGTCTTTCCCCTCCCACCCCTAGGTCCCCCTGCTTCCCTGTTCCTTAGTTTTCTCCCCTCCTTTTCCTTTAGTGGTCTCTCCTCTCCCCACAGCCCCTGGTAGTCTCTCTCTCCTTTCCCCCACATCCCTGGTATACTCTCCCCTCTCCCACTGCTGGTGGTCTCTCCCAGTGGTCTCCGACTCCTCCCTCCCTCCAATGGTGGTCTCTCCCACTGCCCCCATCCCCGGTAGTCTCTCCACTGCCCCCATCCCCCAGCGTAGTCTCTCCCACTGCCCCCCATCCCCCAGCGGTAGTCTCTCCCTGCCCCCATCCCCAGCGGTGTCTCTCCCACTGCCCCCATCCCCCAGCGGTAGTCTCTCCCACTGCCCCCCCATCCCCCAACGGTAGTCTCTCCCACTGCCCCCTGCCCCCCATCCCCAACGGTAGTCTCTACCACTGCCCCCCATCCATGGTCTCTACCACTGCCCCCCCATCCCCCAATGGTAGTCTCTACCACTCCCCTCCTCCCCTGGTGGTCTCTACCACTCCCCTGGTGGTCTCTACCACTCCCCTGGTGGTCTCTACCACTCCCCTGGTGGTCTCTACCACTCCCCCTCCCTTGTGTGCCTCCTACCTCACTGAGAGAGCACTTCCTTTCAGTCCAGCCGGGTACAGGAAACAGAACTCCTGTACCGCGGTCCGCACTGCCCGGCCACGCTACACTGAGTGACAGGTCACTCAAATTTGGCGCCCCCCCGGGCCAGTGCGCCCTAGGCACACATATTATTGGTACCTTTGAAAATATGTGCAAAGATAGGCTTATTCTCTAGGTTATAATGGAATAAAGACGTAACATAATAAAAGAAAATTATTTACAAAGTACATCAGTGGGCCAGATTTTTAGTGCATGTGACATACTAAACCTAAAATAAAAGATGTAATACTCACAAGGCAGCAGGGCCTTCTGAGTACTGCAACATTTCACTATAAAAAGCAATGGAGCTAACAGATTACTTTTTTTTCTGTAATTAACATTTCTGTTCTCATCCTACCAATCTGTGCTGTGATGGATGCACCAACTCTCTCCATCTTTTTCTGACAAGATTGTATCATCTGTTTGGACATTTATGCTTTCAATATAAATGCCATTTTAATAGCTAATTTCTTGAAGGGAAAGGTAATCTTTTAAGGGATTCTACAGTGCCAGGAAAACAAACCCGTTTTCCTGGCACTATAGGCTCTTGGAGTACCACCCTCCCTTGGCGCTGAAGGGGTTAAACCCCTTTTCAGCCACTTACCTTAATCCAGCTCCGGGCTCCCTCGTCCCTGGTGACCTCTCCTCCACTGACGTCAGCTCCCGAGTGGAGCCGAATGTGCATGAGCAAGTTATAAGAGCTTCCAAATCACACACAGAAGAGAAAATAGCACAGTCAGTAAAAAAAGGGGGATAAAACATTTTTTAGATACATAAATGAGAAAAGAAAAGTAAAACAAGGATTAGTTAGATTAAAAACAAAAGAAGGAAGGTATGTAGAAGAGGATAAAGGTCTAGCTGACTGCCTCAATGAATATTTTTGTTCTGTATTTACAGATGAAAATGAAGGAAAGGGACCTCAGTTGAGAAAAAGGATAAATGAGTCATTTATTACACGTGAGTTTACAGAGGAAGAGGTTCTATTTCAACTGTCAAAAGTAAAGACAAATAAGTCAATGGGACCTGATGGAATACACCCAAAGCTATTAAAAGAGCTTAGTGGTGTACTAGTAAAACCATTAACAGATTTATTTAACCAATCATTGTTAACAGGAGTAGTCCCAGAAGATTGGAAGTTAGCGAATGTTGTGCCCATTTACAAGAAAGGTAATAGGGAGGAGTCGGGCAACTATAGGCCAGTAAGCCTTACTTCAGTAGTGGGGAAAGTGATGGAAACCATGTTATAGGATAGGATTGATGAACATCTATAAACACATGGATTTCAAGATCAGAGACAACATGGGTTTACTTCAGGGAGATCATGCCAAACTAATCTTATTGACTTTTTTGATTGGGTAACTAAAATTATAGATCAGGGTGGTGCAGTAGACATTGCTTACCTAGATTTCAGTAAGGCTTTTGACACTGTTGCACATTGAAGGCTTATCAATAAACTGCAATCTTTAAGTTTGGATTCCAATATTGTTGAATGGGTAAGGCAGTGGCTGAGTGACAGGCAACAGAGGGTTGTAGTTAATGGAATATATTCGAAGCTTGGACTTGTCACCAGTGGGGTACCTCAGGGATCTGTACTTGGACCCATTCTCTTTAATATTTTCATTAGTGATATTGCAGAAGGTCTTGATGGTAAGGTATGTCTTTTTGCTGATGATACTAAGATATGTAACAGGGTTGATGTTCCAGGAGGGATAAGCCAAATGGCAAATGATTTAGGTAAACTAGAAAAATGGTCAGAATTGTGGCAACTGACATTTAATGTGGATAAGTGCAAGATAATGCATCTTGGACGTAAAAACCCAAGGGCAGAGTACAGAATATTTGATAGAGTCCTAACCTCAACATCTGAGGAAAGGGATTTAGGGGTGATTATTTCTGATGACTTAAAGGTAGGCAGACAATGTAATAGAGCAGCAGGAAATGCTAGCAGAATGCTTGGTTGTATAGGGAGAGGTATTAGCAGTAGAAAGAGGGAAGTGCTCATGCCATTGTACAGAACACTGGTGAGACCTCACTTGGAGTATTGTACACAGTACTGGAGACCGTATCTTCAGAAGGATATTGATACCTTAGAGAGGGTTCAGAGAAAGGCTACTAAACTGGTTCATGGATTGCGGGATAAAACTTACCAGGAAAGGTTAAAGGATCTTAACATGTATAGCTTGGAGGAAAGACGAGACAGGGGGGATATGATAGAAACATTTAAATATATAAAGGGAATCAACACAGTAAAGGAGGAGACTATATTTAAAAGAAGAAAAACTACCACAACAAGAGGACATAGTCTTAAATTAGAGGGACAAAGGTTTAAAAATAATATCAGGAAGTATTACTTTACTGAGAGGGTAGTGGATGCATGGAATGGCCTTCCAGCTGAAGTGGTAGAGGTTAACACAGTAAAGGAGTTTAAGCATGCGTGGGATAGGCATAAGGCTATCCTAACTATAAGATAAGACTAGGGAGTAATGAAAGTATTTAGAAAATTGGGCAGACTAGATGGGCCGAATGGTTCTTATCTGCCGTCACATTCTATGTTTCTATGAGCGGCCAGAGGCGAGCACGCATTTAAACCCGGCAATAGGAAAGCATAACTCAATGCTTTCCTATATAGAATCTTGTTTGAAGCTCCATGAGGACGTCCAGCGTCAAATAAGTGTGATTTACTCAGTGTAAATAGCCAAAGCGTCTTGTGTGGCTGTCAATGAGACAGACAGTCACGAGAGGCTGGATAAACCCTCAGTGAAACATAGCAGTTTCTCTGAAACTGCTATGTTTTCAGCTGCAGGGTTAAAACAAGAGGGACCTAGCAGCCAGACCACTTCATTGAGCTGAAGTGGTCTGGGTGCCTATAGTGGTCCTTTAATTAACATATCCATGGTCAGGACATGGGAATTAGGATTACAATCAAATTATTATTATTGGCATTTATAAAGCACCAACAAATTCTTCAGAGACATGAGTTGGGAGTTGGGGCAAGAGGTAGCATGGGGTGATGACCAGGAAGAATTAAAGGACATGTGTAGCCACTATAAAAATGTAAAGGGAATGAGAAGGTAAATACATGAGATAACAGGCAGCTGGTGAAGAATGCTATATTGAGATGTTTCATGTGGCACTTCTAATGCTGCTGCCTTTTAAAGCAATCGGGTGTTGTGGAGACGAGATTAGGGAGCCTGGCCCAGTGGAGCAAAATCCTTTACATACAGTTCATTCTGTTCCTTACGGTCTGAGTATCCTTTGAGCAGTGCAGGTTAGTGTTGCAGTATGGACACTTAACATCTGGGCTGTTGGCTTTTGCAATGTGGAATGATGAAAAGCAAAGTTGATGACAACAAATCCTTACTGAGTCAGTGGCAGCAATGTAACCATTACAGCTTCATGTAGCATTTATGTTGTGGTCAGTTTCCCTTTAACAGCTGACTGACTTTTGGAGAAAATAGGGTTAGGACATGCAATCAATACTATTAGCAATTACATAATAATGTACTTTTGGTTTACTTACCATGTGTAATGATAGCTGAATTGGCACCTGTCACCACCTACTTGGATAGACTACATCTCCTTACTCATTACATATGAGCAAAACTAACTTCTAATCATTTTCTAGTGATGGGTGTAGATTAAGGGTTTTTGGTGAATGACACACTATTTTCTTTTTTTTTTTAGTTTTTACCTCAGAGCCTAAGCAGCTAGATGGTTTGTCCTTGTGCCCCTTTTTTCTGCTCTTCTCTACCATTTTATATCAGTTTTTGTTTTCTCTCATCCCTCCCCCCCTTTCATACTCTATTCATTCCAAATCATTTAAAGCCACACTTAAATCTCTTATTGCCCTCCCCCCACAACTCTATTCTCACGCCCAAGCTCTCCCCTTTCATACCACATTCTCCCACTCCCCACCACTACTAACCAATTTTCTCCCATTCAGCATCTCAACTCCTCGAACATCCACATTCTCTCTTTCTCCAAACTCTCACCTTCATGCTCCTTCTCTGTTTCAATACTCTCACTGCCTCTTGTATTCCTATTTCACTAAGGCTTTTGGACTTAGCCAATATCCCCATCATGCGTCGGCCCTGCATCAATATTAATGTGAGGCAAAAGGACATTATTAATGTGGCGCTATGTTATACACTCAGACACACCAACAATATAAATCTTGTTAAAAAAAATAAATTAAAAAAAAAGAGGTACATTAGAATAGAAACGAGGAACACAGTGGTTTGGGCTCAAAATAGGGACACTTGGGAGATATTAGTATTTTTCATCCACTTAAAAGCTTGTTAAGCTAACTTTTGTCAAGCTTGTAATTTCACGTAGCTTGTAATGTTCACACAGTCGTCAATAGTGACTGCTTTGGGGTGGGGGAAGCTTTTTCTATGGAGGATCCCATGGTCTTGCGAGATCCTCTATAGATCTTAATACTGTATTCTCGCACACATGCAAAATGTACAGCACTGACGTTGGCTCCTGGTATCTGCAGTGCTAGGATTTGAAGATGGCTGGATGCAGGATCAGATACAGAACCTACCTTACCCCTGCACCTCCCATGGCAATCGGAACCCCAGCAGTGATGTCACTATCAGGGGTTTTGGCTTTAAACTCTTTGAAGAATAGCAGCTTGGGGAAAGGGAGAACAAAAAAACAACCTACGGTGAACTTCAATCCACCCCCACCAAAATAAAGCAAAACCTACTCTAAGGTGCATGAATGCAAATTTACATTAACACGATATCCTTGCTGTCCTAGGTTAGATGGCTTTAGATGGATAATGCACATGTGAATCATTTGCATTATCTAATCTAAGCTACATTGGCTTTGTCAAACCGCTAAAAAGCACACTGACACAATATGAGGTGTAGGTACCTAAGAATTAATTTCACAATAAACTGCAGTGGTTACGCTTTGTCGGATGTACATCTAAAAAGTTTAAATTCAGGGAACTAAATCACCCTATTCATAAGCAAGTCAAGCAGGTACAATATAGTGTTTGTTAGTTTTGTACTTACTTGTAAGGCACTGGCCACTGCTGCTGAAACCCTTCAGTACTACAAATGGTTAAAGAAATCATGAGAAAGACAAGGAGCATTGCTTCTAACATCATAATATTACAACCCATTGTAAAAACAGCACGGATTTCCATATAAGTGATCACACGCCACCTAATGAAAAATAATAAGACAAAGGTAATTAAAATGAGTGCCCTTAGTTGAATTTGTGGGTTTAATTAGAGCTGGTTAGTTGCAATGGAAAAAGGTTGTGTGAAGGAACACTCCTGAATCTGTTGTAGCCACAGTGAGTAGCAGGTATTGTCGTGTCTATATATCCACTCCTGCACACGTTCTTATACCACTGAGGGAGATATGGTTCTTTGAGCCCATACAAGAACATGTGCACTGTGTATATGCCATTGATGTGACATTTTAGTATTACTGTACCAAAACAAGATCATGAAGTCCATTGATGTGCCAGTCCTATTTTATTAAAGGGACACTATAGTCACCAAAACAACTTTAGCTTAATGAAGCAGTTTTTGATGTATAGATCATGCCTCTGCAGTCTCACTGCTCAGTTATCGGCCATTTAGGAGTAAAATCACTTTGTTTATGAACCCCAGTCACACCTCCCTGCGTGTGACTTGCACAGCCTTCCAAAACACTTCCTGTAAAGAGTCATCCTGTATGTGATTAAGTTCAATTTAAGATTAATTACATCTGATTGAAAGTGAAACCAGCTTTTTTTGTGCAGGCTGTGTCAATCAGAGCCAGGGGAAGTGTGGCAAGGGCTGCATAAACAGAAACAAAGTGATTTAACTCCTAAATGGCAGAGAATTGAGCAGTGAAACCTGAGAGGCATGCTCTATACACTAAAACTGCTTCATTAACCCTTTCCCGACCACAGACGGTAATTTCTCGTCAAGCATGTCCTTGCGTTAAGGACCCTTGATGGAAAATTTCCGTCATTTACTACAATTAACCCCAGATCGACGAGGGTGGGAGTTATGGGAAATTGGAGAATTTACTGTTAGTGCTGCTTACTGCTAGTTAGGGGTTAATGGTAAAACAAAAGTTTATAAAATTTTTTACAAGTGTAAAAAAAGTTAAGAAAGTTTAAAAGCGAGTTTTAAAAAGTAAAAGTAAAAAAATGCTTATTACCACTACACCTGGAACAAACTAGAGAAAAAATGATCCCACGCTAAGGTTCAAAATATGCCCTTTGAAATACCTAGGGATGTGTGCCATATGTTGCTGACCCCTAGAAAATGAAAGGGGAGAAAAAAAAAAATCTGCCAGTGTCTACATAATATTTATATTATATACATAGACACACAAAATTGTTACACTTGGTCTTTTATTCAGTATTTTGTCTTTGCTCTGCCGCTTGGTTTTCCTGACACTATAGTACACTGAGGGTGCCCCCACCCTCAGGGTCCCCCTCCCGCGGCGCTGAAGGGGTTACTCACCCTTTTCCCTCCCTTACCTCTCCTCCCCCGCCGACATCAGCATCCTTGTCTGACGTCACCGGCGCCGAATGCGCATGCGCGACACTGCTGCGCGCATTCAAAGTGTCCGTAGGAAATAATATGCCTCAATCATTGCCGATGCGCCTCTAGTGGCTGTCCAGAAGACAGCCACTTGAGGCTGGCTTAATCCCAGATGTAAACATAGCAATTTCTCAGAAACTTCTATGTTTACATCAGGCAGGGTTAACCCTAGAGGGACCTGACACCCAGACCACTTCATTGAGCTGAAGTGGTCTGGGTGACTAAAGTGTCCCTTTAACTTTTATCCAAGCCTACCAGCTGTCAATAATGACAGTTGTGGGATTCAGGCATTGTCTTACTCCCAAGATGTGATCTGGGAATCTTCCATAGATCTCAGTGTTAACGGCATGTATTCCATTTGTCAGAGAACACTTGTCCAATAGCTGTCAGATAGTAATTATGAAAATTTTCTGAATTCTGCACAAAAATGAAACTGATTTAGTGAATAAACCCTCCATTATTAAGATTTTTGCATAACCACCACCTGCCAAATTGTGTCCCTATTGTGATTATAAATAATTTTCAAAGTAAGTACCCTTAACCTATTACATGCCCAGAATCAACACTGACAATTACTGGAAGTGAAAAAGAGAACCGTGCCCTGACTTCTGAAAGTGGACAGTCAATTACAGGAACAACTACAGTTTTGCTAGCACAACGCCAAAAAAAAAAAAAAAAAGGGGGGACACTGGTTGGTCTTTCATACAAAATAATAGCAATGAGACATCGCCCCCCTGTAGGAAGGTCACAGTGCATCGCACACCTAAGATTCCCAGCACAGACATAAAGATACTGCCCAATGAATGTACCTGTGTAACATGCTCAGAGGATGGCCATGTAAGCTTAGACTGTTATTCCGTTTGGAGTCTATTTGCTCTGTTTGCTTGGCAGTTTTTTGAGAAATAAAATAAACAGCGTAATGTCTCGGAAGCCCTTGCACTGTAGCAGGGCTCTTCCAGCCCTTTAAACAGCCCCCTTAGTTCACAAGCTACTTCCGGACTCTCACATCAAGTGACTGAAAGCGCCTGACAGTTCTGCGCACGCGCAGCATGGAAAGTTGCTGGGAGTCCCCGTGAGTGACAAGAAGTTTGTTATTGCACGTGATTGGCTTCAGAATTGTCAGTTAGCGTTCTATTACGGCGTTCTATTTACCCAGCAGTCATGTATCGAACAGCTCCAAATCAACACCTGGGAACATGACGTTAATAATTTGTAGCATTTTAGAGCAGGGATGTGAAGGGAGTGATACTAAACTAGGAACACTATTCTAAGTAGATAGGCGGTGAATACTGTGCATGCAAGACCCACACAGCAGGACAGTATCAATAGAGGTGTATCTGCTCAGCAGCGATTTTGTTTTCAAGCTAAAACGAATAACCTCCTCTGTATGTGATGCCATATCAAATCTCTCAACATCTCAAATTGACAAAGCGGGACAATTTTAATTTTAGTAGGAGTGTTAGTGTGGCTGGGACATGGCTGTTTTAAAAAAATATGTAACTTAGTAATACAAATGTATGTCACAAAATGTAATTTTAAACAGGAACACTGTATCTTATTTACATAGACTGATTTCTAAATACATTTATTGTAGTTTAAAGGACCACTCTAGGCACCCAGACCACTTCAGCTTAATTAAGTGGTCTGGGTGCCAGGTCCAGCTAGGGTTAACCCATTTTTTTTTATAAACATAGCAGTTTCAGAGAAACTGCTATGTTTATAAATGGGTTAATCCAGCCTCTAAAGCCTCTAGTGGCTGTCTCATTGACAGCCGCTAAAGGGGCTTGCGTGATTCTCACTGTGAAAATCACAGTGAGAAGACGCCAGCGTCCATAGGAAAGCATTATGAATGCTTTCCTATGAGACTGGCTGAATGCGCGCGCTGCGCGCAGCTCCTGCCACGCATGCGCATTCAGCCGAAGAGGAGGAGGAGAGCTCCCCGCCCGGCGCTGGAGAAAGGTAAGATTTTAACCCCTTCCTCTCCCCAGAGCCCGGCGGGAGGAGGGTCCTGAGGGTGGGGGCACCCTCAGGGCACTATAGTGCCAGGAAAACGAGTATGTTTTCCTGGCACTATAGTGGTCCTTTAATTTAATGGAGCACTATAGTCACCCAGATTAAACAAGGGGCTGAGTGGGGTAGGCACATAGAGGGCTAAGGGAAGGGGGGAGAGGAGGAAGGGGAGAGGCACACAGAGGGGCTGGCGGAGGAAAGACACACAAAGGGGTTGGGGAGAAAATACACACAGAGGGGCTGGGGGGAGAAAGATACCCACTAAGGTGCTGGGACAAAAGAGACACACAGATGGGCTAAGTAAGAGAAAAAAGACACACACAAAAGGAGTTGTTTTTTTTTGAGAGGGGGGGGGGGGAGAGTAGTTGTTCCTAAGGTGCAACATAGTCTTGCATCAGCCCTGCCTCAACTAACCTGCAATCTGTTACCAAGCCAAGCTGTATTCAGTCATTATAAGGAGATTCTCCCTTACTGTGCCAACAACTAAGTTATCAAAGAAGGTCACATCTATATTGTATATATCTGCCATTATTGTTCTATTACATTCCAAGTTATTAACACGTTAATTACATTGTGCATGGGCTTAAGTGTCACAGTTCATGCTAAGAGCGATAATGTAAAGTAATTTAATCTACTGTTTAAACTAGTTCATCCTACAATTGTGGAATAATATTAGTCAGCTATTAAATAATGTGCCTTTGGGGCCGTATGTAAGAGGATGTGGTTTTGTCTCTGACATAGAAGTAATGGGTTATTGTAGTTGGGGTCAGGATTGTGGCTTTGGGGAATGAACTGATGTGATATGACTGTGGAAGATGAAAAAAGATACTCTGTGATGTGTGCAGAGGATTGGCTAAGTGTGAGGTGGCTGTGTGTGATGCATTGTTGAAATTAAGCTCTTTGTGTTCTTGTTACTTATTCCAGTGTTGCAGGTCTATTATTTTTTTGTGTGCATGTGAGGGATTGGTTCAGTGGTATGTGTGTGAATAGATTTGGCTGAGTGTGATTTGTGCGAGAGAGTTGGCTGAGTATGATGTGTGTAATTGACCGAGTGTAATTTGTGTGGAATTGGCTGACTTAGATATGTGTGAGGAGTTGGTTGAGTGCGAAGTGTGCATGATGGCTGTGTGTGGTGGCTGTTTCTGATGTGTCTTTTGGATTGCCTGAGTAGAGTGTGTGAGGTTGGTTGAATTGGATGTGTATGAGGAGACTATATTGTGACATTAGCCTCCCAGGGGAGCTATGTTACCTTTTAAGTAGAAGTTTACCTGCCTGTTTTTGTATTAACACAGCCATGTTACAGTGCTGCCACCAACCCCATGTGTTCCCTATTTTTTTTTAATATCTGATTTTGTATTGAATTTTCATAGTAAAATGAACGACAATTGGGGATACATTAAAGAAAAAGGGGATGGGGAATTGAAACTTACGTAGCTTTGCAAGGTACACACAGAACAATATGGATACTGCAATATATATATATATATATATACAGTACAGGAGATACACAAATTCACATGTGGTTGTCGTTTATGGAGTGCCTTCCTATTATGAAGATGTGTGTACAGAGATTCTGGTGCACATTCAGGCTCGAAATGGGACAGGGTATAATTCGCACATTATATACCAGTGATAGTTCTTGCATTTTCATGTGCACTCTGGGACACCGGATGTGACGAAATGCCTTTGCTGTTGGAGGAGCCTGATTGCCAGCCTCCTTCCTCATGACTATGGCCCTCGGGGAGATTCTGCCCTTTAAATACATTATTTGGCCATATTGGATTTTATTTCACTACTTCTGGCCCTTTAAGAACTGTAGGGAAGGATTGGTACTTTTTATATGGCACTTCGGATGCAGCCGAAGTGCCAAAGTAGTCGAAATGGCCGCTATTCGACAAAGGAACACGTGGCGGCAGCCATTTTAATTTAGTCGAAAGCGGTCAGCGGGGTGTGCCCCTGAATCCATGGAACTAAAATCAGCTACACATTTGCACGAACACCGCTGACCCTGACCTTCTCCTCCACTTCAACGCTTTGGCTAAAGTCGAAGTGCGTTCAACAATTCGAACGCCATGTTACACTGTGCTATTTGCACGAATGGGGCCCGTTCGTGCCTTCGAATGGGACTTAGTCATTTTTTCTATGTGAACTGACTTTAACATTGGAAATAGACCGGCTGCACAGCCAAACTCTGTGCAACTGTTTTGGGCAGGAAATCCTGCGTGCGGTCAGTCAAAAGAGGCTTCCCCAAAACTTTAACCCCATGGCAAATTTACTTTGTTCGTAGGATCTGAGCGCTGTTCACCTATATTGGGCGCTTAGATCCGAGCTATCTGGGGATAGGTTAAATGTGGGGGTTCTGTGTAATATAAAAGAATTATGTATTTTTATGTACTTTTATGTATTTTTGCTGTTAGTGTAAAATGTAGATATTTTCTGTACCTGGAGATAATTGAGTTTACTGCAGTGCCTTAAGCCAATTATCTCCAGGATGGAGAGGAGGGATTTCATTGTGTATGTGGGAGTGTTATTATGTTAATTAGTGTTCCCATTGGTTTGTGTCCCTTTTGTCACAGTTTACCACCAGGTCCAGGGGGTGTGCCTCTGGCCTGAAAACTTGTATATAAGGAGTAATAAACGCTCATTGGAGTCAGATCATCTTGTACCTTCATGAAGTTTCGGCTCATGTTTGGGGGATTGGAGAACTACACTCTGGGGAGTGCTATAATCACTATACTCCCCAGGGTATGATCACTAAGCTCTGCTAAGAGCTTGTTCCTGTTCCTGCTCTCTGGAATTCGGAGAGGTTGACCTACTGGAAGCTGGACCCTGGTCTTGGGTCCAGGGTGGGTGGAGACGGCGAGACCCCAACCAAGCTGCGGCGGTTCGTGGGAGTTTACAGTGGTTATGGTGTCTGGCAGAGTGCTTGGAGTCCTCGGAAAGCACTAGGAGCATCCATCAATGGAAGGTACCCGGTTGGGGTATCTGTTACACCAGATATAACAGTTATTGAAAAGCATTGTTGCTATTTATACTAGGTGGTGTTCCTAGTAGAGCGTTCCTCTAGCTTGGCATAGTGCCTGTGTCTCCCTGTCTTATTCTCCACCTTATCAGTGATGCAGCCCTGCTGTGCCTGAGATTCCCTGTCTCTTTTGGTAGGTACCCTGGTGACTATGGCCCCCCTCAAGGGGTCGTATTAGAGTTGCTCATGTGTGTCCGTGAGCTGTTGATGTAGTAGCACCTCCTGAGTGTGAGACGGATGTAAGTTTAACAGGAGTAATAACATATAAAGAAAAGGAAAAAAATAAAAATGGGGTGGGTAACATAAATCAAACTGAACGAGCTGAGACCGTACGGGTATGCGTTTAGTTGAGTGTCATTTGAAAGCGAGTGGTGTGAACAAGTGGGTGTAGGAACGTATATGGTGTGAGAGAACTGTGTCATTCTAGGTTATATGGGGTTTTTGTTTCAGGCGGTTGTCTTTCCAGCTTGCCCACATTTTAGTGTGCACCTCCTCCATGCCTTTAAGTCTCTAAGCCATACACTCATATTCATATGTGGTTTATGTGTTCCCTGTTAAGGGTTAATAAGTATGTAGGGGTTTATGAAAATACCCGTCTTTTTAGATATTTTACCTTTAGCCTGAAGACAGCATGGTGAATTGTTAGTGTAAACCATAAATATTCCTCATCAGGGCCTTACTGGGACACAAATATGGCCCTGGCATTTAAAAGTCAAGCAGCCCTGTAATTTGGCTGTAGAGTGTGTTGAGAATTGAGTGTGTGTGTGTGTGTATGGCTGTAATGTGTGTGGGGACTGTACTGTATGTGTATGTATATGGGAGAAGTGGTGTGTGTATAGGGACTGTAGTGTGTCTGTGTAGAGGCTGTAGTGTGTGCGTGTGTAGGCACTGTTGTGTCTGTGTGTGAAGTGCAATCATTTAATAAAATGAAGGTGACATAAGGATCCATTGTGGTCCAGTTGCTGGGGCACCACAAGATCAGCAATACCGAAAGCATTAGGGC